CCCCTATTCTAGGTTCTGTGCCCTATGCCTGCTGGCATGTGAACACCATCCCCATGGAGGCCTGAGATGATGGACTTGTCATATTCTCCCAAAGCCTGTGGAATTGGTCAGCCTAGGTTCAAAACCCAGCTTTGCCATTACTTTCTTGTCTGATATACACCTCAGTTTCCCTTTGTCGAGTGGATGGTAAATGCCCGTGCAGAGGCTTGATGCAGGGCTGAGTGGGAGAATGTGCGGGCAGCGACACTGGCTGCAGTTGATTTCATTACAGCTCTGGACACAAACGTATTTGAGGGAGACATTGGAAGGAAGCAGCCGTGTGACCCTGGATTTCACACTACTGTGTGTGAACCTGATTCACTCATCTGTGAAGGTGTTTTCAAACTTGTTTTGATTTTAGAGCCCCTTTGTCCAATGCAGACTTAAGCAGAGCCCTTCCTAGTGTGGAACAGTGATTGAATCCAGACCTCTGCTGGGCGGAGCAAGGGTGGAGACCAGAAGCCTCTGCCTGACCAGTCTCCCCATCTCTCTCCTCTTTGGTCCCTCTGAGGAGCCCCAGGGCTCCCAGGAACCCAGTTATGAAAGTCACATCATGGAAAAAAAAAAAAAAGAAAAAATAAGTCACGTCATGGGCCAGCTCTCACATCCTTACAACCACTAGAAAGTGCTTTGAGTCCACCATTGAAATCTTGTGCTGTATGTGGAGGCAGTGACCCCATCTGCCTTGTTCATGGTATATCCTCATTTGTAGTGTAGCACCTGGCATGTACTGGGCACTCAGTGGGCTGTGTTAAGTGAGGGAGTGACCAGGAGGTTGGGCTAATCAGGTTAGGAAGACCTATTGTGAAGAATGGGGGATGTGACTGGAAGGCATGGAGTGGGTGCCAGGCATTGTTCTAAGTGCTGTACATGTCTCAAGTCCTTGAATCCTCTCAGCAGTCATAGGAGGGAGGTTCTGTTATTGTCACTCTGGCAGATGAGTCACAGAGAGATGAATTAGCTTGCCCACGGCTACACATGTAGGAAGTGGCCAAGCCAGGATGGGAATCCAGCCAGTCTGGCCACAGACACCTTACAATTTACCACGACAATGGACTAGCTCTACTGTGTGATAGGACGCATGTTGCCAGTGTTACACATGTTCCCTCTGTGCTTCCTGGGGCCACACAGGACATGGCAGACTGGGACTTACAACTCAGGTCTATGTCACATCAAAGCTTGTGCTCTAAAGGACAAGCATTTAAACTAATAGCAGGGATTCGTTTAAATTAAAAAGAAAAAAATAAACTTCCAGGGTCTATTAGAGGATCAGGAATATAGAAACCGAATCTAGTCTTCCCATTAGGTGAAGCCTGCTATGATTGCCTGGAATCGCTGTCAGCATCTGTCAAGCCACCAGTTTAAGACTTAAGTAGAGCCCTATAGTTGCATTGTTGAGTATGTCGAACTTCTTTACCAGTAGGTGGTTTGGGCATGGAATATGATTGAAGAGGACATTGAGGAAATCAGAACACCCCTCCCGTTGAATTCTCATGACGGTTCCAGTGAGATGTCGATGGACAAGTGCAGCTCTTGCCATTTACATGAGTCCACCAGTCTTTCTACAGCTTATTGAAAGTGGGCCCTTCCGTTTTTGCCAACTACACCCACACACTGTGGGAGTGGTCCCATCACAGGCTGGTATGGAAGGGCATGTACTTTCCTGGACCCCAGTGTCATTGATGAATCAGAGATCAGTATGTTCAGATCAAGGAATCCAGGGCGCTCTCTCTTTTTTTTTGGCAGCTGGCCAGTACAGGAATCTGAACCCTTCACCTCGGTGTTTATCAGCATCACACTCTCCCAAGTGAGCTAACCAGCCAGCCCCCTGGGGCTGTCTTTTGAATTAATTGGTAGCATAAGACTCCCTACATAACTAATTAAATGGCAGCACGAGACTCTCTATGTAATTCTTGAACCCATTGGTACAGCTTGTTATACAGAGGGTATTGTGGTGGATATTTTTGCCTTCTGCCAGCCTTGACACATGACAGCTTATCTTTGTTACTGAATCATGATGTTCTTATATGAGAGGTTTCGACTTATAAGGACAGTTCAGGTCCTCTTGGTCATGGCAGCAGACACATGAGGACTGCTTATTTATCTCTATAATAACAGCTTAAATACATAGTAATTTTGAATTAAAAACACCATGGCACATGACTGAGGGCAAAGTTCAAGGCAATATAAACAACTCAACACATCAGGTTCCTTCCTAAACAGTGGTTTCCAAGAATTGAAATTTAGAGCAAATGTCAGACTTGTCTTATAGTTTGAGGAGGCCCAGCTATCTTTAGAGGATTTCTTGCTGCTTTATCACTCTGCTGGCAATGGCCATAAATGAAAAATGTCCTTTAATAGCAAGGAGGTAATCA